CTGTCGCTCATTCTGCTGGACTTTATTCAGCAGCATCACAATGCATCATCACACCGAGTGCGCATATGTTTCTGTGCGTTACTGTGAGTCAGAAATCAGGAGAGAAGAAGCCTGCTGTGCTTTCTGTCTGCTGCCTCCGGTGCCTCTCTGGTCATCAGGGAGAGGAGGAGGAGGAGGAGGAGGAGGAAAGCAGAGGAGGAAGGAGTGAGTCATTCTAGTTAGACTTAAATAAAAACAACTGCTGATCCACCGCCTGAATGATGATGATGATGAGTATTGTGGTGTTGAATGAAGTGGTGTCGGGTCACTTGGTCACCGTGGAAATAACAAGCTGAAGTTCACGTCTGGTATGAATTTCCCAAACTTTTACTTTTCATTTTCAATCATCATCAGCCTTTGATTGAAATAAGACCTCCGGCAATTGAATCTCTTGCACTTTTTGTACTCAACACTGAAGTGACACTGTGAGACTGGAGCTGAGCTGCAAACTGCATCAGTGGCTGCAGCTTCTACAGTACACTGTGTTTACTAAACCAGTTGCCAGTTAGTTACAGAAACAGCCTGCATGCACCGTGACTGAATAGTTTTTAATGATATTTCTGACCCAGTTATTAGTTCCTTGCTGACACTGTTGCAGAAGCCTAACAACCTTCTGACCTGAAACGCTGTGAGATCTAGTTCTTTGTAATTCCACTGAATTGTACAAGCCATGGTTTGTGCTCTTTGGTGGTTCCCTCCACTTTGTTTGTTTGTAATCTCTTCCCTCTAATAATACATTTTTATTTATAGAGCATATTTAAAACAACAAATCACTGACCAAACTGCTGTACAAAGATGAAATCAACACAAGAAAGAAAACAACTCAGTAACACAACATAAAATTTAAATATCATAAAACAAACCTCAAAACAAAACAAGTTATTCCAATAAAAGCTACAAATGGTGTTGATCAGGGAAAGCCTGACATTAATAATGTCTTCAACTGAGACTTAAAAACAAGAAGGAGGGGGAGCTTGTTTAATAGATAAAGGCAAATCATTCCAGGAGTTACTTCGGAGAACACACGCACTCCTCTGCTTTTCATCCTAACTTTAGGAACAGTTAGATAAGACTGGCCCATGGACCTGAGTGACCTGGTTGGCCTCTATGGCTGAGAAAGACCAGATGGGGCTAAACCATGTCTGGCTTTAGAAACTAAAAGTAATATTTTAAAAGGAGTTCTAAATTTGACAGGAAGCCAAGACTGGAGTAATATGCTCTTGTTCTAGTCAAGAGGTAGCCTGCAGCTACCTGGACCAGCTGCAAACAAACTAGCGAAGCATGGCCAATACCAACATACAGCCTATTACAATGATCCAATCAAATGGAAATAAAAGCATGAGTGATGCTCTCAAAGTCTTTTTCTTTTTAAACAAAAGGCTTGACCCTGGATAAACGCCATAACTGATGAAAACTGGACTTCACCACAGAATTTATCAAGTATATATTTTAGTGGTAATGGTTAGCAATTGTTGTTTTTGTTGTAGTAATCCTTGTTGCAATGTAAGGTGTGCAAGCACAGCTAGCTTCGCCCGGAAGTACCTGGAATTTGAAATCAGTTCCATGTCTGGCTCAGGGCTGAGATTTTAAATAAAATGTAAATGCATAAACTTGTTATGTAAACATAGAAGGCTGGACACTGATCAGATATCACTTCAGCAGCTGCAGCATGTCAAGTTTGGAAACAACCGTTAAAATGCCAAATGATGAGCTTCATTTCACAAGGGAAAATGCAAAAATGTCACACACACACACACACACACACACACACACACACACACACACAGTCTTGCACCACTGGGACCAGTATAGAAGTGGCTGCCAACAGAGCTCGCGCTGCATCACTGAGGGATGTGTAAATTCTGTTGTGCTGGCACTGGTTTGGCATTTGTATGTCTGCGATTGTGAATCTGAGTGTTTGCTACAGACAAAGACACGAGCAACCTACTGTTAAGTGAAGCAGATGAATTGAGAATAAATCAGAAATACACCCTCCGAACAGGATCGTCATTAGCAGAGTGTTAATTGATCCTTAGGTAAATATTTTGTAATGAAATGAAGCAGGTCTTTACTGCCGTGCCACAGCTGTACACCAGCTTCAATATGAACCTCACTGACAGAGTGGACTGTTCTGCTAGAGCTACACTCTACACACACACGCAATCACAAGCTGCACATACAGACAAACACACAGCCATGCCAAAACAATGGCCTGCTAATACTTGCTTCTGATTGGATGAGTCCAGATTACCCAGAGGGCACCAGCTGTCAGAGAGGCAAGACCCAGTTTACTCAGTATTATACACACACACACACCATTAGTCATGTCACACAATAATGCTGAATTAAAATACATTTTCATTACACAATGTTAGCATGTGGCTACACCTGAACTCTCATGCTCCCACCTGTTTTGTGTGATTTGCTAGCTCCTCCTTTTGCTCGCTCGGCCAAGAGGAATCATTCAGCGGCTGCTGTCACTGAGACTATTTACTACTGCTGTCAGCAGACTGTAAAAATAGGAATGGAAATGAGCTCCATTGTAATGCTAACAGGCGTTACAAAGGTCCAGCAAGGCCAGGTAGCTAAATGCTGCAAATGCCTGAATGTGCCGTACGTGGTTTATTTTTAGCCTCGGTTGTGTCAGCCCTTCCACCCAGTATGCAATCAGCCTGCTTTTTTGTAGAGTGCTCATGAATCCTCAAGTCCAAATGTTGAGCTTAAAAGTATTAAAAATATTTGGTTATGAGAAAGAACTTTTTCACTTTTCAGGAAGATCTGTTTGTGTAGAATTTGGATTATTGTAGAACAAGATTACAAAATATGTATCTGACATCCACTGAGTCTTTTTTTGCTTTTCCTGTATAGTTTCATGGATGTAATAAGCCTGTGTTTATTTGGACTCCTCAGCTGATCTTAAATTAAATTCCAGGAAGGGTTAAAAACATTTTCAGTTTGTTTTCTTCAACTCTCTGCTCTGACATTGCAACGTCCTAGCCGTTGCCAGCTCCCACATGCACATACATCAGAGTTTATCCGTCATCTCCTCAATCCCTCTGCTCCCAGTGCAGCCACTGGGCCAAACCAAGCCAGTCCAACAACGCAGAAAGAGGAAGAAGACAGGAAGTGCTAACTGACGTGCTGCTGGGCTGAGATAAGAGCAGATTCCACCAAATGCTGGAGTGAAGAGAGGGAGAGATGGAAGTAAACGGGGTAAATGAAAGGGAGATAAATTGAGCTGGGGAGGGAGGGCGCAAGTGTGTTGAATGAGGAGGAGCGAAAGAAAATAGAACAGATGGGAGGAAAGACAGTATATGCTAAAAGACAGACAGACAATCAGCCAAAGAGAGATTTATTTTCAGTGGAATGAGAGGCTTTGCACTGGCCTAAATTCTCCACTGTTCCACCCTCTGTCTGTCTGTCTGCCTCTCCGTTCATCTACACTGCCCATCCTCTCTGCATCGAACAATGATCTATTTATTCTCATAGAATATTAACCACCAAGACTGAGGTTTTTTTTGTCATTATTATGAGGTTATAATTAAATTTGCTATTAAATGCATGACAAAAAGGATATAAAGAGTGTGTTCGTTTGATTTCACATTGTAGGAAAATGAAGAGTTGGTGAAAAAAAAATAAATAAAAAACTGTAAAACATGCAGTGTAGTCATAATATATATTTTCATGCTTTGTGACAAGAGTTAAAACCTAGCAGTGCTGTAGTTACAGTGTTTAGGGTGCAGACATTCACACTGGTAAAGAGAGTGCTTGTAAATCCTGTGTTAATTTGATTCATTTATGTAAAAATGTGCTATAGCAAACTGAACTCACTCAGTGTTTAACTTTGTGAACTCTGGGTGACTGCTCACACTTTTTTGTAGAAAAAGAACAAGAGAAATTGTTGCATAAATTATAAAGTACCGTGTGCAGGCACATCAAATGGCACATGCAAACATATGTTTCTTCCTTTTCTATTTCCTGCAAATGTTCTGCATTGTTCGAAGTTTC